CGATTAGCACGGGGTTTTCGTGGGTTCATATGTGACTCATCTGATTGTGAGATTACAACTGGGTTTCACAACTGATTATGAGTTCATAGCAACGGAAGATAGCAGAAGTATTGCGGACAGTGAAGTAAGACGCCAAAATAGTTCTACGAGGTCACAGGGTGCGGTATAGTTTGCTAAAATAATTTCACGGGGTTGGGCAATTGGTGATGATTTCTATTCAAGGGAATGTGTTTGTAGAATTGAGCAAATTATGTGTGCTGAACGGGTTGTTGAAATAATCAACGGGGTTCCACAATTACCTATATGTTCATTTGAACGAATGTGTTTGTTCAAGCACGGTTCATTAAAAAGAATAGTGTATCATTGAAATACTTAATTTGATTCACAACGAAATTACCAAAAAATCAGGATCCATTTAGCTTGTGGTTTATTAGTTTTCTGAATTAATTGTCTATTTCCGTGACAACAGTTTAACAATCCATTCAACATCTAGCATTACCTGCGCTTCACTAAAATCAAATCCTATTGAGATAACCTCATGCTGAGTAATTTAACCCCGTAAAATTACTTCAGCAAATTACTGAAACTATTTCAGCAACCCATGATTACTTTGCCCAGTACTACAAACAGATTTCATTGAATGAAATCATATTTAACTGTCCAACCCCGTAAAATTACTTTAGCAAATTAGTTGTCCAAATCCGTAATATTATTTCAGCAACCTAACACTTGGAACTGCTCGGCACAATATAACTTCAGATCAGTCCAAGTGAATTCTTAGTCACTCCTCTGACATCGTAGAACTGTTTTAATGGCTTAAGCATCTTTCCTCTCTGTGCGCAGTACTTTTGTTATTTTCCATTGCCATGAACTCGTAATCAACTTGAAACCCCGTGAAATCCTTTTGTGAACCTATTGAGCTTTTGGAAGTCTCGTTGTGAACAGTTCTTATTAGCATGCTCTAACAATAAGTGCACTGCACTTATGCCGTTTCAACTGAAAATGCCGTTTTGATTTTCCCAACCTAAACTGCGAAATTATCCGTTTTTCACGAGTCGTTTACTTCCACAATTAAAAAAACCCCACCCAACACTGCGGGTAATCGCTCAACGAAATCGGTTTCCAAATAAGTACAACAACGCCACAGGCAGCGCAGTTGCAAACATCTTGTAATTGCTCACTCGCAATGCACCACTGGTGTGCTATAGCACAAGTGCTGGCTGTAGCGATTGTTCGCGCGGATTTCTTTCCAGTTCAACGAAGTACTTATTGTCGAAAACAAGATCGCACGTTCATTGTGGTGCTTAGGCACTGTGCAGGTTTTGCAGTAGTGGCCGACGATGGGGTGAGCGACAAATACGTCCGCACCATGCTACTCAATGATAAGGCACGTACAAATTGTCGGAGTGGCACGTCGTCGTGGAGCAAATTGTCTAGACCCGAAACATTGAATGTGATAAGAATCGCATGCATTTCTTTCCAATGTACATCGCGTATCCATCATGTTACCGGTAAGTTTTATAAGACTTCCAAGGAAGTCTACTGTTTTAGCAGATATTGTTTTGAAATTTTAACGTATTCTGTGTTGTTTACGGCGAGTGGGCAAAAATTTTACCCATTGCTAGGGGTAAGTTTTGAAATTCCCGTTTGTTGGAATGGACAAATACGCGCGCCACCCAGCACCCTTCATATCCTTTTCGCAATCGCCACTAATCGCCGGCCGGATCGTTTGTATGGCAAGCTGACACTCAGTTGCTTCGCGCGCACACGCTACGTTTAATACGCGCACGCACGTCCAGTGTTGTTGGTGTGGTGGTGCTGCCGTTAGAGCGTGGCGTATAGACTCAGCTAGTGAGCGGGAATTTATGAATACT